AAAAAAAAAAAACTGCATTGTTACAATTGTTCTTATTTTTTTTTCCATTCGCTTTTTCCTCCTTTTCTCAATTTTTTTTTTGCTGTTATCATCTTTCTTTTTATTTGCACTGACATCATAATGTCTTTGAGATTTGATTTCCAACAACATTTTCTTCTTCTTCTTCTTCTTCTTCATCTTCCAACTTTTTGGCTATTATCAGGTGAAAATATGAAAGAATATATAGGAGCTGTTGTTTTTTTTCTTCATTTAATGCTTCCTAAATACAGCTTTTTTTGTTGAGAGAAAGAGAGAAAATTTGGTTTTGAAAATAAATTTTTTTTGACAACTGTCAAATTAACCATTTATTTTCTTCTTTATTGCCGCAAAAAAAAAAAATCAACACAGATTACAGAAAAGACGTTTGGATAAAGTGACGACAAATGTACATCGTTGTCCAATACAGCAATAATATTAGACTGTCACTTAGCGCATCGCTTGAGTACAGTAGAACATTATTTTGGTGATATAAAAGTACAGTCTAAGGGATGACTTTGTAGAAATTTGTGAAAAAAGTCAAGAAAAGTATTTCAATGCAAAATTTGGGGAGGCAAAAAAAGCCGACAAAAGTAAAAATTGAATCAACTAAAAACATTTTTTTGTATGTTTTGCCATGCAATAGCAATAGCCATTATTGAAAACGCCATCAACATCGTCACCCGTCATCACCATTATTGTCATTACCAACATCAGTATCACCAAAATCATCATCATCATCATCATTATCAGTATCATTAGTCAACTTAATTGGCATAAAAATTATTTGGATAAAAACAGTGAAGAAAAAACAATTGTAAGTTGTTTAGCAAAATAAATGTCGATTAATGACCAAATTTTTCTCTTTAACTTTTTCTTTTTTTTTTCTTCAAAAGTATTATAAAAAAATATAGGTAACTAAATTAAATCAAAAGCTGAAGGAAAAAAAAATCTGCTTAACATTATAGCAAATAGATATTCTGCTAATGCAATAGTCTTTTTATCAGTCCTTTTTATTTGGCTTTCTTCTTTTCCATTTTTTTTTTTATTTCTCTTCTGTTTTTCCTGACACTTTCTTATTTTTTACATCTTTTTTTTTGAATACATATTAAAGTTTTTTTAGTTTTTCTTTAAAAAAAGGCAATGTAAAATCTAATAATGTTGTATCAATTGTACTGCAAGTAAAAGAAAAAGATTTTGAAATAGATTTAATTAAATAATTTAAATTAAAATTGAAATTTATATCCATCTTCCTATCTGTCTCTTTTATCTATCTATCTATCTACCTATATATATATATCGTCTTCAAACATACGATCTTTGACTGAAAACCTGTTAACAGTAAAAAAAAAAAACATAGTTTTTATAAATGACTAAATGAACATTGACTAATATCAACAAAAAATAAACGGGGTAAGCAGAATAAATTGCTGTTTTGTCTATCTTCAAATCAGTGGTATTCCTTCAGAAAATCGTTGAATAAATCGTTGATCAAAAAACGAAGTGCAAATACAGAAAATAACAATGTCAGTTGAATAATAATTCCAGCAAATTTGTTTGAATTTATTGATAAGAAGTATGAATTTATGCATTATAAAAATTGACGTTTATCGACGTTTATCGACGAAAAATCGACGTTCTGATTTGGAAGCAGCTAAATAGCTGCATAAAAGTAAATTCAAAGCATATTTGACCATAGATACAGTTCTGTTATCAAAGTTTTTTACCTAAACAAAGAATCTGATTTTGGTTTTTCTTTGAAATTTCTAAATAATTCGTTCAAATAATAATTTTTTCGGCTTTTTTTTTTTTTTTT